GATCTCAACCCTTGGCTTGGTGTTTTCAGCACCACACTCTCCCAAGTGAGCCAACCGGCCATCCCTACATAGGGATCTGAACCCGTGGCCTTGGTGTTTTCAGCACCACACTCTCCCAAGTGAGCCACAGGCTAGGGGCGGGCTGGCCCTATGTTTGCAGTTTCTAAAACACTTTCTCATCTATTGTGTCCTCCACTTCCCATGTGAGATAAGCAGGGCAGGGATAATTATCTCCATCCATCCCCATAGATTAGGTTCAAAGGAAATCAATACAGTGCTCAAGGCCACACAGCCAAGATTGGAACTATGAAAAGCACACTTGAAAGGCAAGATCACAGGCCGAGTAACTGGGAGTTGGACTTTGTGTGTGCAGTAGCTGGGTGTGTGTGTCCACACCCTGGGTAGGTACACAAGGAAGAGGGTTGCAAGGCCATTTCTGGTATTTGGGGGCCAAGAATGTTTGCCATTTGGATTGAATGGGGTTCAGGTGCAGGAAGTGTCTGGGCTTCCAAAAGGGGATTAGAATTCCTCCTCCCCTGACTCACCCCACCTGATTGAGACTTCTTTTCTTTTTTTTTTTTTTTTTTTTTTTTTTTTAAAGATGACCAGTTAGGGGATCTTAACCCTTGACTTAGTGTTTTCAGCACCAGGCTCACCCAGTGAGCAACCAGCCATCCCTATATAGGGATCCGAACCCGTGGCCTTGGTATTACCAGCACCACACTCTCCCGAGTGAGCCACGGGCCGGCCCTGAGACTTCTTTTCTTTGAGCCTCCCCTTCCTTATACTGAATGGAATCTGTTTTGGCCTGCCCTTGAAGTTGCTTTTTAAGTATTATAAGCTATATTCATGAATGCCTATGTGTGTGCTGAGGGGGGATGGTCTTATAGAAGAGGCACTGATTCATTTATTTTTGAGCACCTGCTGTGTACTCAGGCCTGGGGAATAAAGAAATGTATGAGGCACAAGTCCCTGCCCTCATAGGTCACAGCACATGGTTTAATACACACACACACACACACACAATTTCAGAACAGTGTAGTGCTCTAATAGGGCTTTGTGCAAAGTGCTTTGGGAACAAACAAGAGGAATTGACTGACCGGCTAGGGACGGGGAAAGGAGAGGGTCTACAGAGGTGACATTGGAGCTGGGTTTTGAAGGATGAGAAGGAGTTCGCCAGATTAAAAAGAGGAAGGGTATTCCTGCCTAAGAAAACAGCATGAGCAAAGGCAAGACATGTGCGAGTACAAGGAATGTTTGGAGAATGGCCTGCAGCTCAGTGGGCACAGGGCGCTGGGGAGAGCCGTAGTGAGATGGGGCTAGAGGTAGGGTGACCTCCAAAGGAGCTTGAATAACAATCATAAGAGTTTAGACGCTGCCCTACAGGCAGCAGAGAACTTTTGGTAGAAAGATCTGTGGAAATGGGAGTATTTCATTCGTTTTTATAGCTGAGTAGTATTCCATTGTGTAGATATACCACATTTTCCGTATCCACTCATCCGATGATGGACATTTGGGATCATTTGCAACAACATGGATGGACCTTGAAAGAATAATATTAAGTGAAACGAGTCAGGCAGTGAAAAAGAAATACCACATGTTTTCACTTATTGGAGGGAGCTAAAGGTGAATGAATCAATTCACACACATACACACACACACATACACACACACACACACACACACAC